GGCAGGTGAGTGCAGCTGGGGCCTGGGGCTTGGTGTGGCAGAGCAGAGCAGGGGGCAGAGGGCACTGGAGAGCTGTCCAGTTCAGGAGGGAGAAGTTTGTGAGTTCACTCAGCAGCAGGGCCGTGAGTCCCACACAGAGATAAGCATCAGCCCTGAGCTCAGGAGAGAAGAGGGAAATGGGGTGGCCCTAAAGACCCACTGGGCTGAGTGGGAGAGACACGGTGCCAATGACAGCCCAGGGCAGGGAATAAGGCACTGGCAAAGGTGCGCTCAGAGGACGAGGCCAACCCCCTCCGGGAGCCAGAGAAAGCGGGTCAGAGGCCACCCCTCCAGGGAGCAGAGGGGGGTGCTCCAGGGCGAGGTGCTCCCTGGGAGAAGGGACGCAGGCTGGGAAAGGAAGGGGACCCGTGCAGAGCAGCTCTCAGGGTGCAGGTGCCAAGGAGGCCGTGTTAGATGTGGGGAGGGGAACGCAGGAGAGGAGACAGCAGGGCCTTTGGATGTCAGGCCCAGCAACAGACTTTCTGAAAGAAGACTCCCAGGAGCCAGCAGGAAGGGGGTATCTTCCTGTCCATGGAGACCTTATGGACATCTCAAGGACCTGAGGGACATCTGGAGGTTTGACAGTGTAGGCAGCGTGTGTGGGCCCATGGTCCCCTCAGGGCCTGGGACCTGACCACACGGCACAGGCTGGTCCACGGGTGCCTGCCTGAAAGAGCACACCAGGGCGTTCAGAGACAGTCCCCGCCCTGGGACCCGGATTTCGAGTGTGAAGGGAGAGTCTCCGAGGCCCTCCCAGGTAGATTTGGAGGATTCTGCAATTCAGCCCAGAGAGCAGGGCTGGGCACTCCTGGATTCGTGCTGCTGCTGCTGATCTTACTATGACGCCAGTGGCCTGGCTGAGCCACAGCTCTCTTCATCCAGCAGGTCCCCGCATGGTGCCCAGTTCAGAGGACAGACTGGGGATGCCTGCTGGCTCCCAGCCAGATTTGCATCAGAGTTTGGCCATCCCAGCGGCTCCTTCTCTTAATCCCAACCCCGGGCTTTTGTGGAGGCTGAAGAAGGCATGGCAGGGCTGAGCGTGAGCCGGCACGCTGCGCACACACACCCAGGCAGTGGACTAGGGCACA